TTAAATACGTGCACGTGTACGAATATATATATATATTATATTTAATTATTTCGTTAAAAAAAAAAAAAAAATCAAGAATTTAAACAAAAGGAGAGTTGGAATAAACCTAAAAATAGACTACCGTGAATGAAAAAAAAATACAATTTCAAATAGGAGTTTCAGTCTATGTTGCAGATTTGCCTTAGGTAAAGGCAACCCTTTATACGTACGTGTTCGCAAAACAAACTGCTAGTGCAAGGTTTGTTAGTTGAAAATCAACGCCCCGTTGAAAACGATCAAACACGGCTGGATAGGAAAAACTTTTTGCAAATTTTGCTAAAATTTCGTTCGCAAAACAATACGCTTTTATCTTATTTTATTTGATTACTGATTTTTGATTTTACTTTTTTTTTTGTGCACGTTTTATAACTTCGTAGACAAATATTGTATTAGAAGAACTTGTTGATATTTTGTTTAATTTCAATTGCAAATAATTTTTTACGCGATGCATTAAATTTCCATCGAACGGTTTTTCTATGCAAAATCAAAGAAAAATTTAACCGAATAATATTATGATAATAAATAAAAGAAGAAATTGTTTCAAAGTACACTCGTCGTTCATTAACGTTCGTAAAATTCATCTCTTTATTTTGTTTTTTTTTTTTGTTCATTCGTATAAAAAATAAAAATGAAAACTAAACAGTACGCGCAAAAGCTTTTCAATATTACCCATTTTCTTATCTAACAATATCTGCTATTAATTGATCACGATATAATGAATATATTTGTATAAACATGTGTATACATATATGTGTCGAAGATGATTGATTATTATTATAACAAAAAAAAAAAAAAAAAGAGAAACTAATATATATCGAATCTTGATTTTGTTGGTTTGTTTTTTTATTTTTTCTTAACATTAGATTGCCGGATGTTGAGTTATATATATATTTTATCTGAAATTTAATCAATTTGACTCATTTTATTTTAAAGAAACTTCGTTCGAAAGAATTTTTCTTACATACATTATTCATACATTTTGTTTATAACATTTAACACAACCTAAACTTACATCTATTTTTTTGCATGATACTTGAATTTGACAATTCAATCATTTTTCATCAATCGTGTTTCCTAATTCTATTAAAAATCAATTAATTATTCAAGTATAACAATTATTCAATAAAACGATTCAAACTGACCCGTGCTTGCAATCTAATGTTAAATCTTATTAAATAACAGGAATAGAAAAAATTAAATAAAAAAATTATTTAAATAATTATTAAAACATCTTTATTAGAAAAAAAAAATAAGAAACATTCGTCTCGACACATATTACAAAATAATTGTATAACGATAATTATGGTCGAAGTTATTGATTGAAATCTTGATTAAAAAAAAAAAAAAAAAAGAAAAGAAGAAAGAAAAAAAGAAAAGAAAAAAAAAAAAGAAAAGATTTTCCATATC